CCTTCATGATTATGGTCATGGGAGAACTTTGGGAGCTGTCGCTCCCGGCCTGGAGTCCAGTTTGGGAGGCTGTTCAGGGGCTTCGGAGCTTTGCTTTGCACCAGTTGCTGGTCTGGTATGTTCCCTTCTTGGTTCGCCCTGCTGTGGGGACTGCACTACCTCCCCGCCATGTGACCCCAGAATTGTCTTCTGTTGCAGTCTGCTCCAGGAAGGGAACAACATGACACAAGCTGTTGTTGGCCCCACAGTCTCCTCTGTGTTCCATTGGCTCCCCTCAGGGCCATTGTCCTCCAGGCCTGGTGTGCCAACATGAGGTCCAATCTGGCTGTCTCTTTCTCTTCTTCCTTCCTGGTCTGCTTCCATATGGGTGTGGCATGCTGGCCCCTCTCCCCAACCTGTAGGTTTAGTGTTGTTCTCTGTCACACCTATATTTATGGAGAGGTTCAGTTTGGCTCTGGTTGGGGTCAACCCTGGAGCACTCTCTTTTCATGCATTCTTCCACGTGGCCACGTGGCCCTCATGGTTTGGTGTACCGTGGGTCTGCATGCCCACTCCCAATTCTGTGGAGACAAAACCAATACTCTCCCCCTGGGTGAGTTAGTGCCCTGCTCTCCCCATCATCACCTCACTTTCACCACCACCACCCTTCCCCCCCACCTTCTCCCTCCTTCCCCCTTCTTTTCATTGGACCAACTTGTACCTCCTTGGGTTTGGTCTAGCCTCCTCCTGACTCCTGGTACCTCAATCCAAATATTCTCTTCTATACCTACTGTGCTAAATACACTTACCTCAGAGGACGCATGCTGTATTCCTCCGTTTGTGATTGGCTGAGTTCACTTAGCATAATTTCCTCCAACTCTTCCCATGAAAAGACGTTTTTTATACGCTCATCAGTGCTTTTTAGTGATGCATAGTACTCCATTGTGTGCATGTGCCAGAGTTTACTGATCCACTAGTCTACCGATGGAAATTTAGGTTGTTTCCAATTCTTTGTGATTGTGAATTGTGCTGCAGTAAACATTGTACATACGACAGATAGTGGTTTATTTCTTACCTCTTCGGGGTATATGCCTGGTAGAGGGATAGCTGGGTCATAAGGTAGATCAATTTTCTTTCTTTTTTTTTTTTTTTGAAGTATCACCAGATCGCTTTCCATAAAGGTTGTAGATATCTACAAGACCAGCAGTAATGTAGGAGAGTTCCTACCTTGCCACATCCCCTCCAACATCGTTGCTCTCTGATTTTCTGATTTGTGCTAGCCTCAAAGGTGTTAGAAGATGATATCTCATGGTTGCTTTGATTTGCATTTCTCTGATGATTAATGATAAGGATCATTTTCTCATATGTTATTGGCCATACAGGTCTCCTCCCTAGTGAAACTTCTTTTCAGTTCTTTTCCCCACTTCTTCATGGGATTAACTGTTTTCCTCTTTATGCAGGCAAGGAGGGTATTGTAGATTTTGGTAATAAGCCCTTTATCTGTTGTGTCATTGCTAAAAATCATCTCCCATTCTATGGGTTGCCTTGTTACCCTCTTGGTAAAGTCTTTTGATGCACACAGGTGTTTTATCCTTAGTAAATCCCACTTGTTGGTTGCTATAATTATTGTCGAGCTGTTTATTTCTGTTTTCAACTCTGTGAGGATTTGATTGATGTATTTT